AACGTCGACGAAGACCCATTTGTCGGAGCGATCCCACGGACTTCCGGTCGTGTCAGACAACTACAGACGTGACTTTGTCCATCCGAATGATTCAGCGACGCCAGTTCCGGAAAAACCCGTTCACTACACGTACGTTTTCACGCAAAAATATCACTGAAATGAATCTAATTAGATGAATTTGGACTTTCTCAAACTCCACAGGAGTTAGTCACATTTCTGGTTGGTCAAAGTTCCACAAAGAATTGTGTACTTTAAATATTTTAACTGCAAGACTTTACCCCTCAAACCTCCAAAATTCCGAGGCCTTCCGCTTTAATCGCAAGATCCAATAAGGAAATAGATCAACATGTTTTCCAACTTTTTTGGGCCCGCGGACCAGCAAATTTCCAAAAAAACATTCTGAGGACTGGCAAAGTTTCATAAAATTGTTGAAGACACAAAAAAGTTGTGTTTGAAAAACTTTATGACAGGTATTTGAATAGTTTTTGAGTTAAGAGCCAATCAAATAGCTTCAGTGGAATATCTTCAGAAAATTAGAAAGGCCGGCTTGAAGAAAGGTTTCTCACAATGAAAAATTAAAATGATGTATTTCAGCAGATGAAATTTTGTCTGACGCATTATCAGGAGATGAGGCAAATTTCGTTTTTTCATCAGATAGTTTCAGCTGCCATTGTCTTTCCAAACTTTCAGATAAAAAAAAATAGACTTCATTGCTACTTTTGAGAAATGTATCATGCTGAAGAAAATTTCCTGTGGACTGGCAAAAAAGTTATGCTGACTGCTGCTAGTCTGCAGAACATCGAAATAGATGATCAATAAATGTGTAAATTGATGCTTTCCACAAGGAAGTGAGTGACTAATTGAGCATATTTTCCCTTGCTGTAAAATGTAATGCTGACTCATGTGTACAGAAAATCACACCTTTTTGCTGACTCAGATTCTTGCATCAATTTTTAGCAAGAATTTATAATTTCTCCTATTTAAAAACGGTTCAAGTCGATTTTTGTTACTCCTAACTTCGACTCAGGAAGGTCTTATTTTAAAAGCCTCAACACACTGAAGATGTTGTATTGATTAAATCTATCGTTTTCCATGAGTAGTATCCTTGCATTTTTCAGGTGGTAAATGAGATATTGGTTCTTAGTTTCAAGATATAACTTTATAGATGGATGAATTGATTCAAAAGGTGGATAAATGCACAGTACAGTAAAATGTCTCAACATTAAAGCCTAAAAATAATGAGACAGGATTGTTGATATCTGTTAGTAATTCAAGTCACATTAAAACTACATAATAATTTACTGCACGAGTGTGTTTATGGAACACACTCGTGCAAAAAATTCTATGGAAATTAATTCCTGAAAATGTTTTGGATCTCTTCCTTGGTTTGTAACTGAAATCATTCGAGATTTTTACTTCTGAAAATACGCGGAAGAAGATTCATTGCGGGTTTCTGTCAGGTACCAATGCAGTACTTGGAGAAGCAGACCATGACTGACCCCTGGGGCTCGGCCCCCACAGAATTCCCTGAGATGACTGACAGGCAATCTCAGAGCTATTAAATTTCGCAATTAGGTCTTAACCGGTCCGCTGGCATTTATTCTGAGCATCAGAAAAAAAGAGCGGGATGTGTCATGTGTGTGACTTCGGGATACCTATCTCAAATTGTTGAACATTTTACGATAAAGGCTAAAGAAGAAGATATTAAATTTGTTCAGTGCTGGAATATCCAGAATTTAAAACACCCTTGCTGATTTATTGAAGATGAAAAACAACGTGCGCCTATTTTCTGCGGAGTTTTACAAAAACTAAAGGTTTATTTAATGTCCATGATATGGTTAACTTTGATTCTCAGCCAACCGAGAAAATTGGTACTGAGTGTGGAATTCAGTTCGCATGGCAATCATTTTGAATGTAAGTTCCGTGTGAATCGGGAAATGGTTGTGACTGATCTGGCCTTGATGTAAGTTAGATCCATAGGTGGTACGCCATGGCACCCGAGAGGTGGTACCCAAGCAGTCGTGACTTATTTCAGGTGGTACAATCAAAAATAAAATCTAAACCTTGCTGAAAATTTCTGACAGGAACGAGAATTGCCTCGGCAACCCATTTCTTGACAAAGATTAAATTTTCCTCCTTACTGCAGAGTTTTAAAAAATTAATCATAATTTTAACTTGGTTCAAAAACTAGCGAAAAATAAACTGTAGCCCATCCCATAGACATTTTGTTTAAATGCTGGGCCATCTGCTTCGCAATTTCGAATTAGCGCATTTAGAGAGATTGAGACTATTAATTCAGACCCACGAAATCAAGGATTTTTTCGATGATTGAACGATCATATATTCAGATTGGAAATCGGAACACAATTTTTTAGCCGACTTAAGGGATCATGCTGAAAATAAAGCCCGCAGGGAATTTTTTTTTAAGTATTCGTTCGCTTTGCTGACTAGGACAATTTTTGGGGGAAAATATGAAAATTGCTGATGAAAATTCTACATTTTTGTATGCATGTTATTTTTTTCGCAACGGATGGTTACAATTGAATACTTTGAAACATATGAATTATCTTTGCAGGCATCCCGAGAAGGTGGCCCTAAACCCTCGCTTGGGGGCGCAGTAATGGGTTATGGGGCGCCGTCGACACTTTTGGAGACGAGTTCAGTAATTTCAATGGAGCGCGAGGCTTCTGTGTCCAAGAAGAAGCCATTCAACAAAGGATGCTCAACTTCCGTGCCTGTATACTTTTTCATAATTAATTTTAGTTCTTTCTCAAAATGAAAGCTTGTTCGCAAAAGCAACCACTCTTGCCGTTGTATTTGCGAAAGTTTCCCCCCGAAAATGCGTCACTCTGGAATACGAACTTTTCCAAATTTCTTGAGCGCATCATCCTTGGATAATCACATCACACACGCAAAAAAACGAGCAAATTTAATTCAATTTTGAATTTATTTTTAATGGGAGAAAAAATTAATCTTTCTACCTTTGTAGATTCTCAACATTTTTATTGCATTCTTGCGCATCTTAGGCGAGAATATGTTCATCTAATATGAGAATACGTGGTACCTGAGTAAATATATAAATTACATATTCAGCAATATGAATCTATTTTGCTGAAGTAAATACTGTGCCGCATGTAAAAAAGATCGCATATTGTATACCGTATTTGATACATCTCCCTCACTTGAAAATATTTTACTTGAACGAGTATAAAACCGAATGCACTTGCTAATTTTACAGTCCAGTCATAAGCAGTCCGAGTAATTTACAGTATATGCACACCTGTAGAATGTGTTCGATGAGTTTTATTTTCATAGAACGGATTCTGAAGCACAGAATTTTAATTATTCATGAAGTCATGACTTCTAAACTTCATACGTCTGACTTCGCGAGTTCAAGGCATTATGTGTTTTATTTTTCTCCTGATTGTCGAATATCGCGAATTACTTGAAAAACTGCATGAGAAGATTATTATACTCATAACTTTCTTATGCACCTAGCTCCACAAATTTAAATCTACCACGGAAGGCGCCGGTCGCCTTTCAACTTCTTTGCCGTTCGATTTATATACAAGCCATGCACAAAATATTCAGCGTACGTTCATAACTAAATAAGAATGTGCAGAATTATCCAAAGCTTGTCCGATTGACAGGTGGCTTTTTCCGTTTATTTCTGAAGGTGTCCCTTACTTCGTTTTGCCTGTCTTGCCTTACGGTCCGAGGTTTTAGGTGAAGCACCCGCACGTCGGCATATTCCGCAGCCCGCGGTGGTCACCGCGGCCAATGGCCGGTCAGCGGAAGCAGCCGCGTCCTGGTGCTAAAATATCTGCCCCCGTCAGTTGAAAAAAAATCGCTGGTCAACAGGAAGAGCGAAAAATTACGTGAAGAATTCGTAACGGAAGTTTCGTCTTCCAATTTTGCGATCCGTCAAGTTCCTCATCTTGTCCAAAAGGTGGAAGGATACGAAACTGAGTCAGGTCGGGGTCTGAAGAGTTTTGAACAAACCATGAGGACCAAGCAAAAAAGGAGGGAACATTTTACCAGGTTGTTTTTTTTTTTTTTAAGCACGGAAAACGAGTTTTGTTTTTCTAATCAATGCCTCGTCGTCTCCAAAAATGCGAAACGAAGTGTTTTTTGTTTTTTCTAACTCGTGTGTCTCGAAAATATTATTTTTTTGTTTTCTTTGCGAATGAAAAAAGCGACAAATGCGGTTTTTCGTTCAGCGATTGAAACGGATACGAAGAAGAAATGTTCTGGTCCCTTTTAACTGAAAGGCGGTTCGCGCTTGTCTTTGTTTCTGAAGATGCAAGAGGAAAATGAGTGTAGTCCAGGAAAAATGCTCAGAATTTTTGCTTTTTAGAGAATGAAGTGGTTTTCTGGACAAGGATTGGTGAGACAATGACGAAAACCTGGGATGAGAATCTATACGAATGCCGTGGGATGAATAGACACGATTTCTTATACCAAAATCGCGCATGTTTCTCTCACTGACTTATACTTTCTAGTTTCTCACAAGAATTTCATTTTTTCCCTCTTACGAAGGCAGTTCAAGACTTCACCTACAAGATGTCAGATCCATAAAAATAATTATTACATGAACTTTAATTTACATCGAAAAGATATTAGGTACACAACCTCAAAAATTCCGCTGGAACAATAATCCATGTCCGAAGTTACATCACAGGCATTCGGAATTTTTTATCTCAACACTCTCTAGAATTTTTTTCTATTTTTGAAGGCAACATGATCGGGGCATGGAATTTTCTGGACTATAACTTTAAAGCTTAAGCAGACCACACCACAAAAAAAAATTTTATGCGAGGCCCACAATTCATTATTCACTTTCCACACACTTCCACTTTTAATCCCAAAACGAACTGAGTTCTTCGTGAGACCACTTCACAGCCTGCAAAGAAAAACGAGACATCTGCAGCTTATTCTTCACAATGCATTTTTACAAGTGGATCAACATATTCTAAGCAATTTTTCAGTTCAACAGGCGATCCGCCGTCCAGATAAAATTTATTGGCTCAAATCCACACACACACACTGTTCCTCCAGCAGGAAAAAATCATCACAGGCTGTACAAAACGAAATCCCAGAGACGCAAACGCTTCAAGATAAAACGACACTCAACATGTTAATGCATCCGTCGTAATCTAACCCTAAGATTATGTCAATTGCATTCGTGTATATCTCTCCTGGCGAGTTCCATTGACTGTTTCTTCTCTCCTTCAAAAACTGGGTTTTACAAAATTCTTTCCATGCATCAAGTTTTCACCATAAACCAAGGTCTCGCGGAAACGACACTTTTACGCCTTTCCTCGCCAGAAGGTGTCGAGGATTTGAATTCATACAAGCGCAAATGTATCTAAATTATGTTCTCGCCAGGACAGTTCATTACGTCGGATGACTTAACATGTTAAAAAAAGAGATAAGAACGGGGATTTCGAAAACATTCGATTCTTACTCACAAGTCTCGCGCAACAAGCAATTTTCCTGATCTCAGAAGACAACGTAACACTGGAGAAAATCATGTCTCGTTATCTCAAAGCAACAAGAAGGAAAAACATCATTCTTACTCCAAAAACTTCCACGCTATCAAAGTAAAACTTGTGACGAATCCGCTAGAACAGGAAAACGGATCTTTCCAGAGACCCACCGAAAACTTCGTCTTCTTGACTATTACTCTTACGGGTTCGGCCTCACAAATCTACGAATCGAATCAATTCTTTCCAGCAATTTCCCCTTTTTTGGTAATCAATAAATCCGTCAACTAGATACGACTCCTGTGAAACTCATTCGACTACTTCCTTTTTCCTTGGCTTAGTTATGGTTCCTTTAAAAAGCTATCTAAGCAATAGAACCGCTAGTTCATTCATAGAAACAAAAAATTCCCGAACATGACTCGATTCCTTCGCTTACAACATTTCGCGAATTTTTCACGCTTCTTCCAGAAACCTGCTCAACAAATCGTGAACAGTTAATGCCAAGAGACGTTTTTTTTTTTGACAAGCTGAATTTGCGCATTTCGATTCAGCACTGGGATAAAATCTGACTACAATTGCAGCCCGCAAAAAAGCGTGTTTAGTCTCAAGGGCTGAATTTCACACGTTTCTCCCATTCAGGAAAGGAGAAACGAAGGAATTTTTTGTTTGTTTTACGATGTCGAAATGTGTTTTTTGCTCAGCTAGCTTTTTCTTTCCACCGTTTCCGTTTGATTGGGTATTCATTCGCAGCTATTTCGATGATGTATCTTTTTCATGCGCCTCTCTCCTTTACTCCAAATCGGCGAACTGCAGAATAGCTCGGCCCTGAACTTCGTTTCTGGCCACCATTCGGAGCACCTCCGAAGCTTTGTCCGCTGGGAACAACTTGTAAGGCGGAGGCTCGATCTGGAATCATGAAGAATGGAATAAAATCACACAAACTCAATTTTTAAAGCTTAGAGACAATATCGAAGCCAAACGTCGCACAGAATTTTGCATCTTCGCACATTAAAACCAGACTGGTGTCGTTAAAATCCCTACAAAACTTTGAGTTAGGCTATGATCCAGTAGGCCAAATATTTCTACATCAAAAAGTCATCTAAAATGCTCAATTGTCGTCAGACAAAAGCTGAGGAACTGACTATCTCCGGCATAGGCGTAGTAAATTTCAGGTGACGTTTACAAAAAGACAAAAAAAAATCGCGGAGTTGGAGATCTTCGTCGAGGAAGTGAGAAGGATCCAGGAATCCGAAGAGTTTCCTTCTTTTTCAAGATCCATTCTGCAAACCTTGACTCACCTCGTTTCGCACAACGAGTCCAACAAGCTCACAGTTGACAAGCTTTCTGGGTTAACCGTGCAAGAACTAATAGACGACCAACAGAAGCGTGACTGCGAACTTAAACGCCTAGTCCTTTAGACTTGAGAGCCTAGGCTAGTACCGTCACGGCGGGATAACAGTGAAGAAAATACAATGTGAACTTGTTCACGAAGCCTCCCGCGACATCTAGGTAATTCACTGTCATTTGCACAAAATATAAGGTCACTCAGTATTGCCTCTAGATGGCAGCTCAAACGAAAACTTTTTGAGGAGCATTTGCTCAAATGAAGAATACTGTAGTACCAATCTTAAAAAGTAAGGCGCCATCAAGAATATGAGACCCGACATGCCAAAACTGAAGGAAGAAGCAATGTGTGAATATTCATGGATATGCAGTATATCTGCGGTCATTTTCAGAAAGTAGAGGTCATTTATGTTACTTGCTTACTTCAGCAAAAAATGTGACAAAATCAATTTCGAAGTACTGTACCAGTAAATTTACGGTAGGTTAAACAATCACTTTCACTTCTTCTAACGCAAGATACTATTGAATCTATAATTTTCAAGAGATTTTCAGAAACACAGTTTTCTTATTGCTAATTTCTTCTTCTAAATTCGTTGTCGCGTAAATTATAACTTTTTCAATTACCTTCGCCAAACACTGAAGACACCTGAGCAGAATTCTGGTAGTTGTCCCAAAATTGATGACGATGTCAACAAGGCCTTCGCAAACTTCCTTCGTGCGTTCAATCAGGGTGGCTTCGTGCAAATCCTCGCTCCACGTGACGACTCTAAATCTAAATTATAAAATAAAACAGAATTCATTCAAGCCATTTCTACGAATGGGTTGCACTGATCGCAGTAAATGAAACGCACTTATTCCCGTATTCTGCACGCTGGACTCGTTGTGGAAGCAGAAAGTCGCAACGGTGGCAGTGGAGTTGGAATAACCTGCTGCTAAACTTCATCATGTTACGGTAAGCGTTTCGGGTGTTTCGATCAGGCGGTCACGGCTGGTAGTGAATTTTCACCTTCCCTGAAAACAAAAACGAACCACCTGTTTAAGAAGCTACAGTAATTTAAATTTTTAGAATTTATGCCAGCCTTGTACAGTACTTCCGTTTTTGGGCATTCAGAGACACCTTATTTACGCGATCATTACTTGACAAACATTCAAAACCTTGAAAAATCACGTCGAGAAGAAAATTCTGTGCGCGGTTTTCCAGCCAACTTTCAGTATTTCACGAATTTGTGAACAGACTACAATACTCTCAAGAGCTCCCAAATATTTAGATTCACTAAATTGAAAAATCTTTTGGAATACAATTTTTTTCGAAATCGTTTCGGCGGGAGGAAAGTACGATTGACATTTTTTTCGGACGGAAAATTCTGATTAGGTTAACAAGATTTTATTCAAGTCCGGTTGAGAATGCAGCAAATATTTTTAAAATTTCGAATAAAAACCCCCGAGGCCCCTGAAGAAAACTTATTCACGTCGGAGAAACTCTTGACGCATCCCACATTAATTCCACCCGGGATCGTTCGAATTCTGTATATTTTACAATAAAGAATAATGCAAGAGACAAAAAAAGGGGTTCAAAATATTTCCTCACCACCTCCCCTGGCTTCCAAGATGGAGTCGACGATTGATTTAGCGTCGAAATGACGCAACTCACTGGTGTTTCGAGGTCAACCGTTGTACCTGCGTTGACCGTTGCCGTTAAGGCCGCCTTAGCCTTGCTCCATTAGGTTCGAGCCGTGTCTTTCCTTAAGGCGTATGGACGTTTTTATAATTTATCAATCATTTTTCTTTACCAATTTCTGCAAATTATAGTCAGTCATACATCAACCCACGAATCATTTCAAACAACAAAATTAAGCGTAATTGACCAAGTTAAGAGGAGGCAGTTTTATCCAGAAAAAACTATGAATGCTTCGCTAGATGAAATAGAAATTGCACTGAGGGGAAAACCTGCAACCATAAAACATATTTATCGATCTCACTGATGCCAAAAAACATTGAAAAACTGTTATTCGAGATTTCAGAGATCCTGTTATATCGGGCCAAGGAAAATTCTTATTACTCGAATTATTACGAGCTGTATGCTCACCTTCATTCTCGAAGTACGCTCGTGCAAATCACTCAAAAAGTTCAATTTTCTTTTTATTTGAAAAATATTCTCCTCCCCCGTATTTTGATTAAATTAGCAGGTTCTTAAAAGAACTGCGTTGAGTGACCACAAAGCTCCAGTTGGCAACATGGACGCAACTGGCAACGGCAATTCCGGCGGAATCGGAACGAGGTAATCCAAGCTCGGCACAGAAAGGAATTCCGCATACCTGCAAAAATAAATGTATCAATCATTTTTCTTTACCAATTTCTGCAAATTATAGTCAGTCATACATCATCAACCCACGAATCATTTCAAACAACAAAATTAAGCGTAATTGACCAAGTTACGAGAAGGCAGTTTTATCCAGAAAAACCTTGAATGCTTCGCTAGATGAAATAGAAATTGCACTGAGGGGAAGACCTGCAACCATAAAAAATATTTATCGATCTCACTGCTGCCAAAAAACATTGAAAGACTGTTATTCGAGATTTCAGAGATCCTGTTATATCGGGCCAAGGAAAATTATTATTACTCGAATTATTCGCTCGACATACGAGTGGAAGTAAGAGCTTCATGCGAGCACGTTTAGTGAGTTTTTCAAGTTAAAAGAAAAATAAACTTTTTATAAGAGGAGGGGGCATAAAACTAATTTAATCGTCCAAGAATTTTCAGAATAAATCTCAAATAAAACATTCAAAAGCTATTCTCCCATACATTTTTGGTTAGCAGACGGCGCAAAAACGCAGGAACTTCTTAGCATTGCCAAATATGTTTTATACCATGTACTTGAGTCAAATTGAGCTGGATTGTTCGATATAAAGCCACCTACTCTTTCTCGAAACGTAATCTTCTCAATTTTATTTTCCTCATAAAACGGCATGCGAACTGAGGGAAATTTCAGTAACGTAATACCACTCGTATGCCCATAAACTGCCAAAATATTCAGTTCGCTAGCATCTTTTCAGCTGAAAGGCCTCATTATCTCGCTCTGCTGGCGCTGAATCCTCAATAGTCTCTTATTCCAACATTTTCTCACAGGTCATCTACATCATCATTAAAGCTTCCAATTCTTCCACAGTCGATGAAGTCGGCGAAAAAATTACCCGTGAGGAACTTCGTCGTATGGATACAGGATGACCCGGTCGCCGATACGCACGTGCGGGTTGTCCTCCACGTCCGGGCCCAAGGCGTCCACGATCCCGGCCACTTCGAACCCGGGGAAAAGGGCCGCCTCGCGGAAACCCAGAATGCATGATGAGCTGCCTTCGCTTTCATTCGATCGGTGCACTGTGGAGTCACGTCTTCGGTAGCAAACTCCGGCACAAATCACCTGCTTATTTTCATTTTTTCAAATTTAGACCAAGAGAAACATTTCAAATATTAGTCAAAGATCGATATTTAAAAAAAATTTCCAGAGGTAAACTCTCACCCCAAAAATGAAAATGTAAAAACTCAAATTTCAATTCGTCCGCGAAGTTAAATGCAGTGGAAAAGTCCCAAATTCGGGTGAAAAACACCGTATAAATGCCAAAACTTGTCTTAAAGGCGTTAAAAACATTACTTAACGGGAAACACGACAGCAAAACATTCCAAATAATTTCTTGAAAAGTTTTTGAAATACGGCACACTCGTGAAATTTTAATACAAGAATTACGACTTTCATTTGTCCCTAAAAAACATAAGAAAATTCCGAGCACTGTCCATTTGATTCCTCACCTCACTCCACTCTTCTGCTTAATTTTTTACTCACAAATTTGGCAAATAATTTCTTAAAATTCGAGCGACAAGAAAATCAATGAAAATTATTTGCCTTGACACGTGCTCCATTTGTTTCGACTTCCGGGATGGGAACGTCAAAGGTGAAGACGCTTTCGTCGACGGATCCTCGCTTCAGGGCAGACGGACTCTCGATGCTGACCTGTTTACACAAGTGCCGTTTCGGTTTGTCCTGTGAAAAGGACACAGCTTTCGATGACCCGTCGCTCATCCTGCAAAAGAAGATTATNGACACGTGCTCCATTTGTTTCGACTTCCGGGATGGGAACGTCAAAGGTGAAGACGCTTTCGTCGACGGATCCTCGCTTCAGGGCAGACGGACTCTCGATGCTGACCTGTTTACACAAGTGCCGTTTCGGTTTGTCCTGTGAAAAGGACACAGCTTTCGATGACCCGTCGCTCATCCTGCAAAAGAAGATTATTTGCATCAAGAAACGATCCGTCGAAACAAGTACAGCGCGATTAATTTTCAAGAAATAATAAAGACACGATCCGCGAAACCCGTTTTGAAGGTGCACTGGATCAGCTTAGGTATTGAAGAGTATGACACGTGTAAGAGAAAGTTGAATCTGTCTCTACAACATACTCAACTCGTGGCAATTTCAAGTCTGTAGACATCAGCCAACACCCGAAAAATAAGGAAAAATATTTTATTCAAACATTAAGTCAACGATTGATTTGCAATTAAAATTGTTGAAGAAAAATTTACACCCAAAACCAAATTTAAATGCGTAAATTTCAGTTTACCCACGAAGTGAAAGTGCAGTAAAAAGTCCGAAATCCGACTGAAAAACGCGCAAAAAAATTGGCATAAAAGCGTTAAAAAAATTAATGGCGAGATTTTTTTCAACAGAATATTGGAGAATCATTTTCTGAGTATTTTTCGTCCAATTTCTGCTTTTTATCGTGAACTTGACTCAAAAATACGGGCAAGATTACATAGATTCACTCTAGAAAATCAGTAATAATACCATAAATGCCCTTCACGCTCATGCATAGATCAGCGGACACTCGTTTCAATTCTTTCAAAATTTTGATGGAATGTTCACTCAATTTTTTTTAACTCGTTCTACCTTCACGCGAATTTTATAGGAACTCGGAAAATAAATCCCGACCGAAAACGGCCACTTCAATCAAAGTTTCTAAAAAAGAGTTCTTCAATTGATGTCGTCAATTCATTGAGCGTGACTCAAGTACTGTACTGTTTATTCAGTTCCACCAACAATTATTTTCGATACTTGGGCAAGGAAATCTTGAAGGTAAATCCCAGAATTTACCAATTTATTCGCGAAGAACGCACAGACATGCACCAGAAGCAGCGGAAAAATCAAATCTGAGCATAGAACACCAAGAGACCCGACCTTTCCTGGTCTCAAGCAACCAAGCATAATGTTGGTAGTTTCTTGCTTCTAAAGTATTTCTTTCTTCTTCTTTTACTTTTTTGTTGACGAAACCACTGATAACGCGTTCAAGGCGACTCTTCATTTCCTCCGCACGAAGGTCAGAATAATTTTTTACAAAATCCCCTCCAGCTGCATTAAACGCGGGTGCGAGGTCAAGAGAACCCATGGCACAACTGAGCGCCAGAGAAAACAGGGCGCCACCAAAAGCGAGCTAAAGCAACGATCAGGAAATTATACGAATGAGCGAATTTTTTCCATGAAATTCTACATGCTCAAAATTTGGCTATTCCTGCGAATTAGCATAGTTTTTAAATCATTCTAAAGGTTTAGAAATAATCGCAGTTGATGCCGCATTAAAGCTTGGAGGGGGATTTAAAAGTCTGTAGAATGGATTGCTGCAATTTAATGACTAAGAACGAACCGTTATCACACTTCGCTATGAAGTATTTAGATTTGCGCAGTTGGGTGGCGCTCAGTTTTCCATGGCGCTCAGTTTGGCCGTCATCATTTAAGGCGAGCCTTCCACGCTTCACTTCCTCAAGAGCAAAGAGTGGAAACAACGTCATGTAGAAGTGTCATAACATTCGATATCCTCCAGTGAAAGCGCAATGGGTGTAAAAAAAATAAAAATAAAAAATATATACCGTATATATATACAGTACGGTATATATCTTCAGAATTTCCAGAGCGAATGCATATGGCAACTGACAGAAAAAAGTTGGGAAAATCTAGCTTTCAATTTCGCCAAGGGAAACCCTTATAAAATTTTTTTTTTAATTCGAGAGAACATTACGCATCCAGCATTACTTCATCAAAAATTCGTCTCTTTATAATGCTCATCGATTCGAAACCAGTCGGCTGAAATTTCGGCTGAAATTTGTTACCACAGAAGAAACATACGCAAAAAAAAACAAAAAAAAACAAGAGCGGATAGAAGTGCCAAAATGGTGCAGAAAGCTTTTTTCGCCGAAATCATCCAAGATAATCAGTCCCGATCTGATGACTCAGGCATTTTCAGAGTTTGTGAATTGAGCTTCTCCTTTTACAGGTTTTCACGATATGCAGAATAAGCTTTTTACCTCCATCGCGATTAGGTAATTGCGAAATAGAAGAACCACCATTAGTATTACTCGGTCTCGAAACTCTTGAAAAGCGAAGGAAGCTTTGAAATTCGTGCAATCCTCTTCCAACTTCCGTCTAAAATCTGTCTGGTACGGAGAACGGTATTATCTCACAAAACCGAAAAAAATAAATTAGTTTTAAGGAGTACAATATTATTATTCTCCAGATTATTCTCCACGAAGGACTGACTTAAAAAAGCACGGTTAGATCCCTACAACGTAAAACACGCAAACGTCTAATGAAAAAGTGAGAATTTAACTCACCCAACGGAATAATCTCCGTCTTCAGGAATAGCATCTCCTTGCAATTTCACCATCTCCAACAAATTATTCCGGTTTTTTTTTAACAAACGAACGCCCTTTTCAACCGTTCAGAATAAATTGGAATTATTTCCCTTCGACTGGTATAAAGTGGAAATTAAATATTGGAAGGCTGAATACATATTTCACAGCCGAAAAATGGGATTTCACGTCCACGAAACGCTAGCATGAATTCTTCCATTGCATTCAAATTTTTTTGGAAGAGACGCGGATGTTTTTCATTAGAAATTCTAGAAGTATTTAATGGTTGTACACTCCTTAAAACTCCAAAATGATCGAATTATCCATTCCCTCGAATGAATTAAATAAAACGCGTGATGAGACGGGAATCTAGATCGAAATGCTGTTGCATTTCCGTTTTCAGCAACAACAAAAAACAGCGCAAATATTGAAATTTCGATGCATATCGTTCGAAATATTTTATTCTTGCGCGAATTCTGTTTGAGATTGAATTCTCAAAATGAAATTTGGAACTTTCAGAATTTACTCGCTAAGTTTCGGGTGAGGTTACGACCAGCTATTTCACGAAAAGTGGGGTTTTTGTTCGCAATTTTTTTTAAATAACTTCCGACATTATCTTTCAAAATTTTAGGAAATTTCATAAATCCTTCTGTCGCTGACAAAAATTATTCTAAACACAAGTTCGATTAAGAAGCAACGTTCAAAGGATCAAGCACATTTTCAAACGATGAAGTCGCAAATTAAAAGGTTTTCGCCAAATTTCTTTTTTGGCCAAAACTCGAATGCAACTGCATGAGAAAATCTGGATTCAATTTTCATTCCCCTGAAAGAACTTCGAAGGTACTCTTGATTGAAAAGAAATACGGTTTGAATTCGAAACTTTCATTTTTCAAGGGCTTTCGCGAAGTCACTGTGCTGTGGAAAAGGTTAAGACAAAGCTGTAGTCTAACTGGATTTACTTGCAGCTATTTTTGTTCCTTAATTCTACGATGAATGCTGTAAATATATTTCATGTCCCGTTCTTTGCTATCTCGGGGATTTTTTTTTTTTTTTTTTGCGAAGAAACACAGGCAAATTATTTCACAGAGGTCGACGTCAAGTTCAAGGGCGAACTGGGATCCCCAGGCCACAACTCCCCAGGAAAATCGTTCCGAATCGACGGACTTCGCAGCGATACTCCCCCCGTTCTCCCCCCTTCCTCCTCACTAGAACACTCCCTTTCTAGAACCCCCTTGGTTCCAGAATTTGTGAGACCCAAAGCAGGGAGAGAAGGAGGAGCATGAGCAAGAGCCTAGGCGTAAAACTGAGGAGATAAGGACGGGCGCACGCGGATACACACTCGACTCCTTCCTCCTCCTCCTCCGTCCGAGGATTTGTAGATCCATGTACGACTGCCACAGGGGTTCCTGACAAGTTTTTTTTTCGTGTTGAAAAATCAGAATCCATTCAATTCCGAATATTAGAACTACATTCCCTTTCAAACACATTTATATTACTTTGTTGAATGAAAGACGTTTCACTTTGGACGCCAGTTATATTGGGTGTTTTTGAATTCAAAAACCGAGTTTGGGTACAAATATAACACGATTCCTCGCGAAAATGTTTGGCACGGAGAACAAAGATCGTATTTCAAAAATTGCCGATCTTTCAACAATTGAATGACGTTTTAATCAATACGGAAAACATTCGACTTGACAGAAAATGTATAATTTTGAATTTAAATTTATTGCATATTTATACTTATGACAAAAGATGTGAGTCAGGGTGAACTCAAAGAAGGGAAAATTTTTGGATACAATTAGACCCAGCATTAATTTTAGGGGATTATGATTTATATTTGAACGAAAACCGAGAAATTCGAATCAGATTATGCAAGCGAAAGGAAATAGTATGGCATAAAATAGTATCTTCTTGTTGAGGTTTTTTTTTTCAGACTTATTTCTATAAATTTTGTATTAAAAAAAAAAGTGTTTCCTTCTTGAGTCAACAACACAGAGCACACATGAAAAGTAAGACTTCATCATTGCAAAAAGAGCGCTTTTAATCGTGGAATATGCAAAAAATGCCAACAGAAGTTCAAACTCGTATTCTTTTTTTTTAATGGGGTGATATTCGGCAGAACACTTTATCTGCATTTTTTCTTTATGGTGGATTCTTCAGAAAAGATATTCAAAAATGTTGATTGAATCACCTGAAGTACGTTTGTGAAATTATATGAAAGGGTGATTAAAGTACACAGGCCCATGAAGCGTCACTCAGCGGAGAATTTAAAGGTATACAGACTGGTTTTATAATGCCCTTAATAAAAAGACATGAACTTATTGACCCTACATTGACATTTAAGTAGTATTTTATAACTTTCAACGCAATTTTTTTATTTAGTTCGTATGAGTTGTGTTAGTGCTTATAGAGTTCTAGTGAGTAGGTGAACTTTTTTGAATTTAGAAGTTAAATTCCCAGAATTAGCTTCAATCTATTCGAGAAAAAAAATCCCTTTCTGTGCAGTACATTTTCTCAATAGGATTAACCGAGCAAAGCTGAAATCGTTGGCAGGTGAAGAGTTCATTTCGAGGCACATTTTAAAAATGTCCATTACGTGAACCGTCCAGCATTAACCACAGTTACGTAAGTAAATCTTCATGAATATTCCACCAAGAACTGTTTTGGAGAAGCCCCCCTTTTCGGGTAAACTTCTCTCTTTCACTGGAAAGACTTTCAGTTCCGCGAGGGGGGGGGGGGGAGGACCGGAGGGAACATGAAAAGAGTTTTCAGCCTCGTCTGGCCTCGTTTCTCAGCGCCTGCGCCCCAGGCGTTCCTGTACAGCCTTGCGTCGCAATACCGGGAACAGGAAACCCTCCTATGGTCACATGGCCACATGAAATTACCCCCTGTTCAAATTCCAGCGCTGATGCTCTCGCTTAGGTAGGGTAAAGGAGTCGAGTACAAGAGGAGGCTTATACACACTTAAACCTGCTCCTGAGCCCTCTTAGCTACTGCGAACTGAAACCTATTTAAGGCGAAGCTGCGGAGTTATATTGGGTATTTTTGAATTCAAAAACCGTGCTGGGGCGAGAATATAACACGATTACAGGCGAACATGTTTGGAATGGAGAATGAAGCTCAATTTCAAAAATTGCCCAGGGATTGAAGAGGTATCATATTGAAAACGAATTGAATTGAACAGCTTTGTTTCAGTTCAATCCGCTACGACGGCAGAAATATTCATTTCGAGTTGGTGATACATAGAACCCGAGGTGAAGCACAAATGCGGAACAGTTCCTAACGAAAATTTTTGACAAAAGGTAATCAATATCGAATTCAAAAAGTGTTCCGTATTTTTTTATAGCGATTACATTAAGTTGTTGAGCGCAAAGCGTTCGACTTGGAAGATAGCAGAAGAGTTACTTTTATAAAACTCGGGAAGAATCTTCACTGCTTCTTTCAGCTCGATCAGCAGGGAATTAAATTTTAAATTTATAGTTTCTGATAAAACGGAGGGATTGATCTAATGTACAAAAGATAGAAGACATAAGAGTTAAGGCAAATTTTTCGGGATAACGAATATTTGCGTTGAATACCTAAAAAAAAATATGTCTACATTCCCATTTGGAGCTCCATTCTGTCGTGAGAAAAAAATGAGAAAAATTAAAATGTTCAGTAAAAAAAAATCGAGATACAGTATAACACTTACATAACACTTGAAAACAGAGTCTTACTTATTTTCCCGGTTTTACAAGTGTCAGGCAACATAATTTTTTTTCTTTTTTTGCAGTAAGACCACCAGGAAATCTGAAAATGAACACACACGCCTTTTCTTGCTAAAAATCCTCTTCGCGGATAAGAACTATTTTCAAATTCATTTCTTTCCCCGAGTTCCGAGTTGAATAGAATTTTTTTATCCTAAACCTGAGTAATGAACCAAAATGAAATACCTTTGCCACATTCACCTGCAATTAATATTTATTTTTCCGTGATTTACAAGAATTTTGAAAACCCCTTATGAGACTTTCAGGAAAACAATACTTCAACCAATTGGAAACCATAGAATTCAAGGTTTCCTTCAAATCAATAAAAAAAAAGTCTTTCAAAGCATGACGCAATGTTGCTCGACCCGAAACCTCATTTTTTTCTATGAATTCCTCGTCAGTTACGAACAAAATTTTTTTTAATTCAAGGGAAAATTTGAATTCAAAATACGCAAAAAAGGGGTGACGAATGTTTCTTAACCTCTCTTTTTTCATCGAAAGCAAATTACCAGCACTTCCAGACAAAAACCAGAGGATTGACAAAAAGACCCCCATTAAAAGCAAGGGTCTAAACATGGCCCAGGGAGAGTACTTTATACGCGTGTTAAAGAGGGGAAAAGTGTCACGACTTCATGGTTTCCTGAGAGCAACCTTCATTGAATAGCCTAGAGGCGCAGGAAGACCACATGCTCTCGAGAACCGCCCGGAATTCTTATACATGTACATACAAAAACAACAGGAGAACCCCTTTTCTGGGTCTCGCTTTTCGTGCACATTCCCTCTCATCATTTCGAGTGCGGGACTCGAACCCGCTTTTCTACGCAGCAACGTCAGCACTTATCGCAGTACGAAATTAGATCCACGGGTTTCCATGTCCCCTCGCAAAATACAAGAGAGAAAATAATACGAACCACAGCCCATAAGGGGATCATATTTCCTGGCCAAAACACATTAGACGGAAAATAGTCATTTAGCTGATGGAGTAATCCAGCTTTACAAAAATAAAACTGCCATTTTTCTAAGCTCTGCTGCATGAGGGGATAATTTTTTTAAAAATCCAATTGAAATTATTGAAATGTTTTCATTGATTTTGAAGTCTTCGAATCGGAATACTCGAAAGCACTGCGACATCAACAAGCTTTCTCAAGTTTCATCCAAGTCATCGATAGATCAGTCTTTCAATTCTACAAAATTAAAATTAAAATAAATTATGCTCCTTACTTTCCAGAGAAAAGGTCAAAAGAGATTATTTCATTAACGTAACTTTGCTTCATAGTAGCTTATTGCTC